ATCATCACCCCTCATCGTCCCCCTCCTCCGTCCTTAGGTCGCGCGAGCAACGACTTGATACGTATGCTCGTTACGTGTATAGTAGGTCCTTCCTCTGGCGCCTCGTGGCGGCCCAGGCAGCCACAGCAGGTCAACGGGAATGCCTCCGCCTGGTATGCTCGGACGTGTAATGGTGGGGGACTCGGGCGCTTGGCAGCGGGGGGAGGCGGAGGAGGAGGAGGAGGAGGAGGAGGAGGAACCCTCAACGGTGACCGATTGGATTATGATGTTGATATGGGTTGTGGTGTACGCTTTCCGATTAGGGTCAACACAGACATCCCCTCGCCCGCGCCGCGGCGCGCTCGCCCCCGTTTGGAATTCTGCATGTTTCCCACGAGGGAAAAATGTCATCGTAGCATGGGAACTAAAGTGAGCTTTGTAGCGGTGGCCGGTTGGATTTTGAAGTTCAAATGGCTTCTGGTGTATGCAGGATTCCCAAAAAAACGAAGGATTGCAACATATTGCAAAAAAACCCGAAGGATCGCAACAAAAAAAACAGGATTGCAAAAAAAAACTGTTTTTTTTCGCAATCCTGGGTTTTTTTGCAATTCTACAGGGACAGCACAGCCCCCCACACCCACACCCCTCCGCGCGCGCCGCGGCGCGCGCGCGCGCGTTTTTGGAGTTCTGTGCGTTGCGCACAACCAAGCGAAGTGAACCCTTAGAGGTGGCCGACCTGATTCTCACCGCCCACCCAACCACCCCAACCCAACCCGAAGGCCACGATTTGCCCTCCATTTCCAGTGGGGGGGGGTCGGGGAACATCGGAAAAACACGTGGAACCCATTACCCCCCCCAACCGGAAATTCTGGTCAAATTCGGGTCTTCGGGTTGGGTTGGGGTGGTTTGGTAGGTGGTCAGATTCTGAAGTTAACATGGCTTGTGGTGTACGCATGCCATCCGGGACAACATACATATGCCCTAGCGCGCGCCGCGTCGCGCGCGCGCTCGTTTCCAGTTTTGTGTGTCGCCCACAATCCAAAAGTCGGAAGGGTGGCTTGGAAACTAAACTAACCCGCTAACGGTGACCGATTGGATTCTGAAGTTCACATGGGTTTTGGGGTTTGCTTGCTAGTAGGGACAACACAGACATGGCCTCGCGCACGCCGCGGCGCGCGCGCTCCCGATTGGAGTTTTGTGTATTGCCCACAAACGAAAAGTCGCCATTTTCCCCTCGAAACTAACCCGTTAATGGTGACCAATTGGATTCTGAAGTTAACATGGGTTCAGGGGTTTGCTTGCTACTAGGGACAACGCAGACATGCCCTCGCCCGCGCCGCGGCGCTCGCGCGTGCCCGTTTTGAGTTCTGCGTGTTGTCTAGAATCGAAAAAGTCGCCATGTCGGCTTGGAAACGAACGTGAACCTTCAACGGTGACCGATTGGCTTCTGAATTCGTGGGTTCGGTGGTACGTGCTTTAAACGATGGACAACGCAGACATGCCTTTCGCCCGCGCCGCGGCGCGCGCTTGTTTGGAGTTGTGTATATTGCTCACAATCGGCAAGTCGCCAGGGGGGCCTGGAAACTAGAGCGAACCCTCAACGGTGACCGGTTTCACTCTCAGATGAACATGGGTTCTGGGGTATGCTGTCTGCGAGGGCCACCACACACATGCCCTCGCGCACGCCGTGGCGCGTTCGCGCGCGCCCCCGTTCGGAGTTCTGCGTGTTGCCCACAGTCGAAAGATCGGCATGTTGGCTTGGAAACTAGAGAGAACCCTTAACGGTGACCGTTTGGATTCTGAGATTCATGGGTTCTGGGGCCTGCTTCCTCCTAGGGACAGCGCAGACATGCCCTCGCGCGCGCCGCGGCGCGCGCACGCGCGCGCCTCTTTGGAGTCCTGTGAATTGCCCGCAGTCGAAAAGTCGCGATGCTGGCGTGGAAAATGAAACGAACCCCCGGACAGTCGCCATCGGAAAGTCGCCGTGTTTGCCCCGGAAATCAAATTGAACCTCTAGCGATGACCTGTCCAGTTTCCAAGTTGGCATAGGTTTGGGTGTATGTGTTCTTTTACGGGCCATACAGAATCCCCGCACGAGTGCGCCGCGTGGGTTTCTCTGCGTTGTCCACGATAGGACAGTCGCCTCGTTGGCTCCGAAACAAATGTGAACTGTTAGCGGTGACCGATCGAACTTCCAAATTAACATAATTGTTGGCGTATGTTTGGCACTGTGGACAATGCAGAACTCCCGCGCGCGCCGCGTGGGGATCCCCGTGTTGTCGACGCCAGGAAGGTCGCCATGTTGGCCCCGAAGTTAGAGACCCTTAGCGGCGACCGATCGGATTTACAAATTGACATAAATGTTGGCGTCTGTGTAGCAGTATGGGCCACGCAGAACTACCGTGCGCGCCCCGCGCGGGGATATTTGTATCGTCCACGGCACGAAAATCGCCATGAAGGCCAAGAGACCGAAGCGAACCCTTAGCGGTGACGGGTCGGGCTTCCAAGTTAAAATTGTGGCTCTCGCGTATGTTTTCGATATTGGGCCAAGCAGAGCTCCCACGCGCGCGCCGCGTGGGGATCTCTGTAATCTCAACCGCGCAGTCGACAATTCAGCCCCCCCACCCCACCCCGCCCCACGCGCGCGCGAGGAGCTTTGCTTGGACCATAAGTGACACGTCGCCATGCGGGCATGGAAGCCACACTGCGCCCGTCACTCTGTTCTCTTGGATGGACATACAGACATCCCTACGCGCGCGCGTAGGCTTCAGGCTTATCCAGTTGCCCACGCGCAAGCGCCCAGGGCCCAGGGTTAGGGTCAGGGCTCGGGTCCAGGGCCCAGGGCTAGGGTCAGGGCTCGGGCCTGGGGCCTCGCGCTTGGGGCCGGGGGCCCAGTTCGTAATGCCCTGGGGCGGCGAGGTTTCATTTTGATTTGCGTATGCCACCACTCCGCTGGGCCTCCCAGGAGCCCCCGAAAGTGACGACAGTTTCGCAGCTCGCAGCTCCCAGGGAGGGCGTGGCCTCATTCTGGTATGTGTCTAACGCCACCCCGCTGGGCCTCCCAGGGGCCCCCGAACGTGGCGATTGTTTCGCTGTCGCAGCCCCTAGGCGCGGCGAGGTCTCATACTAGTCTGCGCACTCCGCTTGGACAGTTTCGCAATGCGTAGCCCCCAGGGACGGCTAGTCTCATGATTTTCTGCGTGTGACACCACCCCGCTGGGGCTCCCAAGAGCCCACGAAAGCGGCGTCAGTTTCGCAGTTCGCAGCCACCAGAAGGGCCTCCAGATTGACACCAGACCGCATATAAGGGTCGCTGGAGGGGCGCACGATGGCCAAGAGATCCAAGATTGCCCCAAGAATCCCCAGGATGGGCCCAAGACATCCCCAGTACGGCCCAAAGAGGCCCCCAAGAGGGCCCCAAGGCAGCCCAAGAGGCCCCCAAACCGGCCCATGGAACTTCCAAGATGGCCCAGGAGGCCCCCAAGACGGCTCCAAACCGGCCCAAAATACGCCGAAGATCGCGCACCCAGCAAGCCTCCAAGAGGCTCCAAGACGGCCCAAAGACGGCTGAAGGTGGCCCAGAAGCTCTTCAATAATGCACCCGAGAAGCCAACCTCATCGAACCCGAGGCCCTGCCAGTGCGATCCGGAAGGGTTTCCAGGCCTTCGTTCCACCAGCATTCGGCCCCGGTGGCGTGTACTTCGGAGCCAGACTCGGGCACCCCTCTT